TCATCACTCTGGTCAATCCTGGAGATTTTCTGTTTGAGATGTTAGCCTGGCCATGCTAGATTAAGGGCATCTTCTGGAACTACTTTTGGTTGATTGAGCTGGGCAACATCGCATAAGTTCCTCATCGCATGTGCAGTTCCCATGGCAGTGTGTGTTGCTGGCTAAACTGAGGGCAACAGCTTGAACCTTCAAATGCATTACATTGTTATGGCATGATGCCTGTAAGCAATAGATGAAATGAAGTATGAAGATCCTTTCATCTGGTTCGGCACACTAAACCTTAAGTGCTGCTGTGAAGGCTTTAAAAGGATAGTTCATCCTAAATGCACAAGTCTGTCATTAATTACTCACTCTCATGTCGTTCCAAACCCGTAATATCTTTGTTCATCATTGGAACACAAATTAAGATATTTAGAGAGCTCTCTTACCCTCCATAGACAGCAACGCAGCTAATGTTCCCAGGTCCAGAAACGTAGTAAGGACATAGGTAAAACAGTCCATGTGACATCAGTGACTCAACTTCAAATTTGCGAAGCTACGAGAATACTTTTTGTGCACAAAGAAAACAAAAATAACTTAATTTATTCAACAGTTCTTCTCCCCTGAGTTACGTCTTCCACGACGTCTTATTTGACGTAATCAGCATTGTTTATGTTCGGGGGGGGAAGCGTGCGCACGAACGTAATCTGCATAATCAGTTTTTTTTACACTTAGGGGAAAGCGTGTGTACGCGTTGTGATACTCTAAAATGGTGGAAGACTGTAGCTCGGGGGAGAAGAATTGTTGAATAAAGTCGTTTTCTTTTTTCTTTTTTTTTCTTTGCGCACAAAGTATTCTCGTAGCTTTGCAAAATTGAAGTTAAGCCACTGATGTCACATGGACTGTTTTACCGATGTCCTTACTATGTTTCTGGACCTGGGAACATTACAGTTGCGTTGCTGTCTAAGGGAGGGTCAGAGAGCTCTCCGATTTCATCAAAAATATCTTAATTTGTGTTCCGAAGATGAACGAAGGTCTTACGGGTTTGGAACGACATGAGGGTGAGTAATTAATGACAGAATTTTTATTTTGAGGTGAGCTAACCCTTTATAAGATGTTTAAGATTGTATAGAAAGCAGTAGCTTGGCTATTCTTCAATGAAAGTGGATGGGGGTTAATAGTCCAAAGCTCCAAAAAAAGACACAGAACCACAAAAGCCATATGAGAACTTGTGAGGAACAATTAGCCTTTTTCACAAAAATCGGAAATTACGTCAGCGCAGGGTAAAGTTAGTTCCGTTACAGGTCTGTGCCTATTATGTTAGTATGCCCTTTTCTCAAATAATGCTTCTTACCTTTTCTGTTTTGTCTGTTTTCAAAGTTGTTATATAATCTACAAAGAAATAACATTTTACTTGTTAGTAACTTATATGGTCACTCAGACCGCTGACTCGTGAGATGATGCACTCAATATAGCGCCGGTTGGTTTCTATTCTTCATCTCCGACATCCCTTTTTATATAGTCTTTGATCTCTGGTACATTTGAGTGTATTATCTCAATTTACTCAGTCATTTCCCTCGAATCACCACATAAATTACTTAAAAATGACCAAATTTATGTCCAGATGCACATTTTTTCCAAGAATACATTAAACAATTCTAACTGAGTCCGGTTGAAGCATATTAAACTCAGCACAACAGTGTAATCTGATACAATAGGAATGAAGTCATGAATCCGAGTCATCTCTTGTTTAATATTTATTTCCCAGGGCACATTATACAACGTACATTTAAACCATCACGTTAATAATGCAAAGGAGAGCAAGTAGAACATACAATATTACTTTAATAATAATAATTAGCGAAAAAATTCATGTGGAGAGTCCTAATGCAGCGCTAGCACCAAACAGACAGAATGGCAAAACTAACTGAAACAAACTTGTATTTGATGACCCGAGCTGATGCAAAAAGTTAATTGTGAAATGTTTGCGCTTTGTATTCATCTCCGACATCCCTTTTTATATAGTCTTTGATCTCTGGTACATTTGAGTGTATTATCTCAATTTACTCAGTCATTTCCCTCGAATCACCACATAAATTACTTAAAAATGACCAAATTTATGTCCAGATGCACATTTTTTCCAAGAATACATTAAACAATTCTAACTGAGTCCGGTTGAAGCATATTAAACTCAGCACAACAGTGTAATCTGATACAATAGGAATGAAGTCATGAATCCGAGTCATCTCTTGTTTAATATTTATTTCCCAGGGCACATTATACAACGTACATTTAAACCATCACGTTAATAATGCAAAGGAGAGCAAGTAGAACATACAATATTACTTTAATAATAATAATTAGCGAAAAAATTCATGTGGAGAGTCCTAATGCAGCGCTAGCACCAAACAGACAGAATGGCAAAACCAACTGAAACAAACTTGTATTTGATGACCCGAGCTGATGCAAAAAGTTAATTGTGAAATGTTTGCGCTTTGTAAAGTACCGGCAGTTCAAGCATTTTCACAATCTCTAATTTGTATAAAAAGACTTTGATTCTCAAACTCATTCTTGTTAAGTACGACCGCAATTGTCACCGGAAAAACGTTTACCCTGCAAGCGCCAATCTGGAAGCCAGAAACACGGAAGTGTGAAAAAGGCTAATTGTGTGAGGAACAGACCAATATTTTTGCTGACTTACTTGCTAGGCTTTTGTTTAAGGGTATTACTATCATTGGCTTAAACATGTTGAGGGACAAATTCATATTTCCAAATAAGTTTACAAACCAGAATAATCATGTTCCACACAAAGTACCAGTATTAACTAATTCTCTCACATTTTCTCAGATTTCTCATAATATAGTACAGCTCAAAAGTAGCATTGATATTCTGCATCATTTCTGAATAAAAGTATACATTTTCTGACCCCAAACTTGTAGTGTATATCTCACCTAACTATTTCATGTCCCCTTTTATTTTATTAGAACAGAATTAATTATAGTATAATATGCTAACTTTATTGATAAAATCTTGTTGTTATTTCCTTTTCTCAGGTACCGGAAGAATCTGACCTTGGCTAAAAAACAAGAGCAACAGAGAGAGGTAATGAGGATACTGTGTCATAAAATGAACACACGGCAAAGTCATGAAATGCCAACTGTGCGTATGCAAGAGGTTTTGTTTCTGAATAATTTACTTAGGATGGGTAAATTAGAAGGACCTTCAAGCTTTTAAGAATTTACAATGAAGCTCCTGCAGGCCATTGCTGTAAAATTCACCTTACCTGCTGGAGATGAAAGGAGTCTTCTTGATTGAATCCCAGTGAGACACATCATGGCACTGATATTGCAGTAAATGATATGGCCAAATAATTTGATGACAGGATTGCACTTTTGTTATTTAAAATATATGGGCGAAGGTTTTTATAAACTCGCAAGGTGATTGTCTCACTCTGTAACCCATTAGATCTCTTTAGTGGCACCAGGCAATTTGAATTTACACATTTTTATTGAGCTTAAAATGTGTCTTGACTTTATTTAGTTTCATTAATATTTTCTTACATTACAGCAAACATTCCACATTAGCAGGAACACATACAAGGAATTTAATCGGAACCTTCAAGCAATGGTGAACTCCATGTGGAACTCCTGGTGGTCCATCCCTGGTTCAGACATTGAGATTGACAAGGATCTCATCGCTCTAAGCAAAGTGGCAGAACCCTGGTGCCGTTTCGACCTCATCCACCACCCAGCGCTTTTCAGCTATGCCATCGAATTTCATCGGAGTGTGAGTGAGATATTGTCACACTAGTGACATTTAAAAGCACAAGCGCTTGTAATAGTACAGTGATGCTTGACTGTCGTCTCATTTGGAGTGAAGGAAAGGGACTAATTAGATGATTATATTACATCAAGTTTAAAGCCTTGTGTGTCAATACCGGGGACAGCGCAGCCTCCACTTTTCACTAATAACTTTAGGATTGGACAAGGAGATAAATGTGGTATTAATGTATCTTTTATAGAGGATCCATTAATACAGAATCACATTTTATTATTCATGGAAACTGTATGGGACTGGAGTTTTCATCATTTTTAATAATACAAGTACCTTTTTTTGGTCTGACCGCAACATTCAGCAGTGTACTACTGAGATTTAAAGCAAAGGGAGAACAGTGAATATTTATGTGTTCTCTTTATCAGTGTTGGCCAGAGAAGAAGAACGTGGATCTCGGTTCCATAAAGGTACTAACGTTATATCATCTCTTTTTTTTAATTAAAAGCTTATTTTAGATCAACATGAGAGCTTGTTTTTACTCCTTTTATCCTGTTGCAATATTCCTCACAGTAACTGTTTTTTTTCATGTTTGCAGATCGGGAAGTACTGGAACTGGTATATGGAGTTTCTCTTTAATCAAGGCTTTGATGGCCTCAACAATTTTATTCGGACCAACACTGGCCACAGCTCCGGATTGAGTAGTCAAGATGACAGGCAGCCCATGACTTAGCCTTGATGCTGGCAGGAAGTCCAGGTGTCAGGGGGGTTCATAAAACATGTATATATTTGATAGTCATCCTCCATTAGAGGGCAGAAAGGAACCACTTGCATAACTGTAAATACTAAATGTACATTACAAGCCATTTTGTTACTTTTCAGTCTTTTTTTAGTGTTGTGTATATTTTAGCCCCTGTTTGCTTTTTATATTTTGTGCACAGAAAACAGAACTAAAACATTGTGATAAAGCCTTAATATTTGAAAAAAAAAAAAAAGTATGACTGCTTTAAATGCCGTCTAAAATACAAAGTCCCATTCTTTTTTAACGATTTAAAACTGGGGATCAAAGATTGATGAATTGTCTTGTTTATTATTCCCATTGAACCAAATGCAGCTATGTATCTTTGATTGGTCTGACATTAAAATAAATCCTTTGTTCTCAGATCCAGCATGAGGTAAAGCAGTATGGGGCAGGCTTTTTTTTTTTTTTTTTGGTAAATCAACTACATGAAACTGGACTTATTTGAGGACCTGCTAACTTGCAATGATTTAAGGATTTTGCATGATATATGACTCTGAGTATAGTTGTTATTTTAAAAGTAATTCACAACAGATCTGTTTTACATTTTTCAAAAAGCCAGGTTGTACTGATAAATCTATCATTTAAAAATATGAATTGTTAAAAATGGTTATTTAATTCAACATACACAATTAGCCATTTTAATAGGTTGTTTTGCTCAAAGATCTCAAACTGGATTTAATGTAGTTTGAATGCAAAGGACAGACATTCTGCTTCTCACTAAATCAAGCCCTATAAAGACTGTTTTATAAAAAAATCAATAAAGATCATTGTTTTTCACAAACTCTGTAAGCGTCCCCTAGGACGGTAACTTGTTCCAAGTGCATCCTAGGAAATTTCAGCATCGATGCCGTGTGAGGCTGTGAGCAAAGCTTAACGTTTTACAGCCCGTCTCATAAGTGTGAGCGCCTTCCACTCTGCGTGACACATCTTCGTGTTAATGACGGGCTCTGGAGATGCCTCGCGACGATGTGTCCCTTTTCTGGTTCGTGCTATTTTCAGCGCGAGCGCGTCACGATGCCGTCCAGCAAACTTCCTCTGGAGTGAAAGAAGAATTCGCGCGCACCTCCGGGATTACAGCTCCTGCGTTATCGTGAATTGAGGCAGGTGCAGAACTTCAAAACGATGAATTCTACGAGCGCAGAGCTACGCGATCTACCTTGCTCGGCTGATGTCCTTGTTCATGCATGAGAGATTATTCGTTCATCGCCGACTGCCCGATCATCACTTCTCCACAGCTTTCCTCTTTGCATCTGAGCGGCCGTGTAAAATGGAAATCTGAAGTGCTCCACTTTCGCAGTTTCTCACCTTTCAAAGCAAAAGGTAGGACTTTATTTGCTGTACTTGACAAGTGTGCCGTGTTGGTCAGAACCGTTGCGTTCACGCGAAGCCTTTTTAAGTTTCAGTTCAGAGACTGGAGATAAATCAAGCTAGTGATGTCCTTTATTATTAAAGCAAACTCCTCGATCGCTGGCACAAAGAAAGGCCTGATGTGAACTGCCTTTCTTACCGGTTGACACGTCAAGCCAGTGTAGCAGATCTTGTGGTTTAACATCTTGTCCGATGCTCTATTAAGAAAAATATCTGGGAAGTGATGCTTCAATTATGATTGCCTGCCGGTGACTTTGAGCTGATTTAAGCGTGTCTGTGTAACCTGTAGGAACGGCAATCATGAAGAATTAAGGGTTCAAGTTCCGCTTCTTATCGATTCCCGTTTCATTATACGTTCTTTAAGTAGCCTACTTTAGTGGAAGAAATATTCGGAGGGGAAAACATGCAAGTAAGCCCTCTGCAGTCGTTTGGCATATGAGATCATTTCAGATTTCAACAGAACAGGTCTAACTTATCAGGAAAAAAATACAATTCTTGCAAAGGAGTGTTGACGTAGACTTATTTTTTAAAGAGAAGAGTGCAATCAAATAATTGGAAGGAACTATATTTTAAGTAAAAGTACTTAGTAGGTCTGTTTTCCCATATAACAGTAACAAAACTCGTGTATTTTTGATTAAGTCTAATGACTTTAAAGTACAACAGATATATATATAGTCTTGATTTTAAGTTGAATATTGTTTAAGTATTTTTTCTGTAAAAGATTCAGATTAATTGGTTTTGATTCACTAAAAGCACCGACTCATATGATTCCATAGCCGTGGGAACATATTTTATCTGGGGGGTGCTGGGGATGGGGCTTGATGTTGAGGGCGGAGCCATGGTGGGGGATTTTTGACAAAAGCCTAATATTAAACAGCCCAAACTCTTATTGATTAACATACACATGAAGACAGAGTTAAATGTGAATCGATATATATTTGTGATTTTAGTTCAATAATGTTTTCTTTAATACTTATATTATTTAAAGGGAACATCGCTGATAAGCAAACTTTTTGGTCAGTGCACTTTGGCGAATTCTCTCATCTTTGATAATGTATGTTCTTTGCTCGCTTCCATCTTTTTCTTCAACGTGGAAGTAAGCCTATGGGTGAGACTTCCGGATCATTAACCGCTATAGGTAAATAACGAGGAGAATAACAATGTGCAGTAAACGGTAAAACTGTTTGCACTACAAACCAGTGTGTTCATAAATAAGATAATACGTTAAAATAATATAAGACACCGATTTTCAATATCAAGCAGCAAAACGAACTGTTTTGTACAGCTAAAAATAGCTGGATGCAGATGAGACCGGAAGCCAGACCCATAGAATTTACAAATGGCCGCGCTCATTTTTACGACAAGAAAAAGGTGGTATTTGTTTGTTATTTTAATAATCGTGGACATGCAGCGTTATAATTAAACTTAAGATGTCTTTTTATTAGCCTAATCGTGATCAGATTAAACACAAATTCAGTCTTATTAAAATATTTTATGTCATAATATTGTAGGCCTACTTGCCTAAAACGTTATGATGTGCGTAGTTAATATTTTACATTAGGCTACAGTGGTTTGAGCACGTTTGACCAGAGACTAGAGTGCAATTAAAGAGCTGTGGTTATTGTGATTGATGGTGGCCGTCTTGAGAAGCGAGAAAGCTTTGGAAAATGGCTCATAAAAAAGAACGATGACGTTAATGGTTTTTACAAGTCAGAATATAAAATTACGGTAATATCGCGTGAACATTTCACATAAAATTCTGTCAGTGTGAGGGGGAGAAGTAGGGACACGCACCCAAGAAAAATACTACCGCTTTAGGCTATATTTCTGGTCAGTTTAATAAATAATTAATCCCAAAACTATCACAGAAATTATGTATCTTGGGGATGATCGAGGGGTACAAGGAAAATCTCAGACCCGTCCCTGCGGCTGGGGGTGCTGCAGCACCCTCAGCACCCCTAGTTCCCACGGCCGTGTATCAGGGCAAAATCGCTGGTAGCCCTTCGGGCAGACATTCTTCAGATTTTGGTAGCCCAAAATGATTTTAAGTAACCCCAATAAAAAAAAAAAAAGACATCGGCTAAACTTCACTGCGGACAAATCAGCATGATTAAAAACTTCAGTGATTGCTTGTTTTCTTCAAATAACAAGTCAAGAGAGTAGGGGTGCAACGGATCACAAAACCCACGGCTCGGACCATATTGCATTATCAGATTTTGAGTTACAGATCGAATCATTTTGCAGATGAGCAACAAAATATGGTTCTTTATTATTTAAATAACAGAATACTTCTTTTATACCACAGCAAAAACTAGTAGCATATATGGATGTAACGATTCACTCATCTCACGATGCGATGCGATTCACAATGCTGATTCCACTTCAATTTTCTCACAATTTTTCTTTTTAACAAAATGAGATTTAAGACAAATTATAAATGAAAAGGTGTCCTTTTATGATTTCTCCAACAAAATGCTGCACATTTCTTGGTGAAATTGAAATATGTCAAATAATAAAACTATAACTTGAAATTTTTTAACAAATCCCAAAACAAATAATTAAATAATACAAATAAAAGAAATCTTTTCATATAAACAAACTAAGGTTTTGACTGTGCTTTTTCCATTTAAAATCAGAGGCAACCACTGCATTTTAATCATGATCCAAACAAAGATGCTAAATACATGTTATTTAGATTGCAGTGAGATTGTATAATTTCGAAATTTGAAGCAAAAACAGAATGGTCTGATTTTAGCTTTGTGAATGAGATGCAAATGTCACTCTCTGACAGCAGGTGGCACTTATGGAACAGCAGGTATTTATAGGCTGCTGCCCCTTTAAGACCGAATCAGTGTTGCCAAGTCCGCGGTTTTCCCGTGGAGTTGGGATACTTTAACACTGTTGCTGCGGGTTGTGTTTCATGTCCGCGGGTTGAAGCGACTCCAAAAACATGATATTTATCCCCAGCAATGTGAATTTTAGCAGGGGAACCCCGCCAAAAACGTGTATTTTACCCCCCACCTCGAAACGCGATTGGCCTAGTTTTGAGTCGCGATTGGGCAGGTTTTCTGGTGAAAACCTGGCAACCCTGGACCGAATGCACGGATTCAATATAATGATGCACTTGAGATTTCTTTCACCACTGTTTACGTTCACTTAAGACATAACCGAAAAAGACATTCTCTGTGCGCCCTTTGAATGAGTGTGCGCAGCTCCAAATGCATGTGAATGGTTTAAAACACTTGAATGTTTAAATCGGCAAGACTTAGAAACATGTCAGCAGCTGTAGATTCAGTATTAATAGAGTAGGCTAGTGCAGAAAACAGTCTCGTGCTATTTTAGTTTAGTCACGGTGTATGTTTTTATATAGTAGAAAAAAAACAGCTCATATGATTCATTCGTCAAATGTAAGATAGGATTCGTTCCTTTGGAAATCAGACAACACTGGACGCACGGTATGTTTTTGATTCCACTAAAAAACGGTAGGCTACATAGATATCTTTCCTTCTGGACTCAGTTCTAAATAAGAACACAGTTCACAAGCATAGTTTGTGACAAATGTTTATTGCTCACAGCCACTCGAAATGTTTCTAGCTGCATTTCTTTGTTTTGTTCTGTGTAATTACTAGAATTAAGTCGGATTTCCATCCTTTCTTCTTTCCAGGCAGACAGTGCTTCACATTTTGAAAATGAAATGTGTGTGGGTTTTGACATTTGTCTCCGAATCACGTTCATAAATTTTCAATGTTGTGGCACAGTAGTGTAATATGCAGGTTGAAGCTTCTTTAAAAGCACTATTGTGACTCTTGCTTTGATGTTCTTTGAAACACGACAGCCTTTTGGGGCTGGTGGCAGTTCATGCTGAACAGCCACACAAAGAGGAAACATAATAAGTGTCTATCCCTATCTGAGTGTTAGACACTGATCCTGCTGAAATGATCAAGAGTCATCAGTCTTGAGTTATCAGCTCATCCTCTTTGTTATTCACACGAGTCATTCAAAGTTTATGCCACTGTCTCAGTCCTCTCCCCCTTTCCTTTCTAGATCATGTAAGTTCACTCTTTCCCTCGCTGTCACCGTTTCTTTTATGCTCCGAGTTATAGAACATAGAAAACCTGGAAATATAGAGATTTTAAATTTGTGATTTCTAGGCCTGGGAAAACGTAGGAAATGTCAAAGACAAAGTAATTGAAATTGCTGGAGTGAATGTAAATTTCTCTGGTTATGCTTTTTATGGAGGCTAGAAAGGCTTAGATTTTTGTACACAAGTAAATATGATTTATTTGAGTCTTTAATTCTAAGGATTGATACCTGACTTCCAATTGAAAATGCTCTCTGGCAATCTCAATAAAAGGTTTTGAAAATACTAGTGCAGTAAGCCAACTCAGAATGGAAATTCTTTTGTCTCAGACTGCGGTGAGAACCATACATTTTCAATTATTTTGTGTAATCTGAAAATACATTGACCAATCGTTCAACATTTATGCCTTTGTCACAATCCTCTTTCTTTGTTTGTTCTTCCCTAGATCATGCATGCCCATTCCCTCACTTGCAGTCGTCATTGTGAATATGTGATGAACAGCAAGTGTTTTCTGATGACACAGTTTGGATGCACTTTGAAATGTGTTTTGACAAGAACATTTATTGGTGTAGTGCTTACCACTACACCTCTGAAATGTAACTCATTTTCTTGGTGATTTGTTTTCCCTCTGCACATCATCAACATGTACATTTGGACTACATTATTTATTTGCTCAGACGGCGTCTTATACAGAGAGAACTACCAGGGGAAATTTACCTTGTTTTTTTTTGTTTTGCCTCACTTAGAGGAGTGATCTAAAAATGTCAGGAGTTATGGCGACACCGATTCGGCAAGAGAGGAACTTTCTTTAGTGTATTCAAAGTTCAGTTTGAAGGTTCTGCGTGCCATAATTCAATATGTTTTAAATAAA